GTACCAAAATTTTAATACTTTCCATCCTTCCTTCTCAATCTGGTCCTTCTCTCAATGTTCCCTGTCTCAGTAGATAACACTTTTTATTCTATAAGCAGAGAACGGCAATGAAAGATCTTTTTGAGATGGGGAAAGAACATGAATTATTTTTTAAGTTCTTTCTAGCTCTGGATTCAATGAAATTATGATTAAAGTATTTGGGGAAGATTATTATGATGACAGTGAAATGTAGGATGAATTGGAGTGGAGAGAAATAAAAAGATCCATCTCTTTGCAATAAATAATTACCACTAGAGTGGAGCCTGAATAAAGGAATATTTTAACTACATAAATTCCCCAAAGAGGCCCCTATAAGTGAGTCTTCAGAACCCTCTTTAGTCTAGCTTCATTCTGGCCAGGGAAGTATCTTCACCTCCCCCTTACTGAAGGCTGTAACCCATCTGTACGTTTGTTAATTCATTGACATATTATGCCCAAAGCTCCATGCTCAAGGCTGGAGGGACTAGAGAAGGTGTAAATCCTCTGCCCTAACCTAATCTACACATAATAAGATAAAGACATTTAGTCTGGCCAAAAAGGGCCAAGGTCTAGGTCATCTCTAAGAGACCAAGGGGATTTTGAAATTCTGAAACTCTTACCTGCTTCCAGGCTTATCCGGTCTAGGCTGATCATATGTCCCAGTTTGCCCACCACAGTCTGTGGTCTTCTGGTAATTTCTAAGAGGCACTATCAAAAGTACCTTAGTTTTAATAATAAATTATATAGACACCCTTTCCTGGTCTGGAGTTAATCTAAAAGGGCAAGACGCAAACTTATGAACAGCTCCTTCTTCGTGACAATCCTAGAGCAGACCTAGAACCTTACCAAATCCTGGTGTAAGACAAACCTCAGATTTGGTGACCATAAAATTGCCCTGCTAAAAACGTTCAAGAGACAAAGAATATTTTAGAGTATTTCCATTTCTACCAAAGGAGACTGAGGCCCATGTGAAGGGAACATGGAGAGTGAGAAAAACAACACGGCGGGACGACAGTGCAGCAGGACGACAGAGATGTGTGGACAGAAAGATACAGCACTGACTTCAGTGGGCATGGAGACAATGGGATCCCACTCAGTGAAGCTGTAGAGAGGGTAATTTACCAAGTGGAAAAGAGTTTTGATACTTCCAAGTCTGCCATGCACAGAGGTGTGTACCAGTGAGACCATTTTTGTTTTTAAAATATTGCAATATTTCCATCCTGTTGGTAAATAGCTATAGCAAGAAGCCTAAAAATTCCACCCTGGCTTCCCACTCCTTCCCCAGACTACTGGACTTCCCCACAATCCAACACCTGGAGGTGTCACATCTGGCCTAGCTGGGGGCCACCAGAGACCTGCTCCCACTGTTCTGTCCCTGTCTGTTCCAGTTGGTCAGTGCCCATGCCATGCCAAAGGTAGCTTAATATTGCAAATTTCACCCTAGATAATTCCACAGCAGTTTAGGGTGGAGGCCCGGGATGACTCAGAATATGAAAGTGAAGAAATAAGATGCAGGAACACAAAAAAACCCTCTGAACCAGCAAGTCTGCATGTCAGATCCCCAACGTGATGCCTCTCAGAGCTATGAGCTGCCTGTCATGCTTGGGACCCATCATTTCCGTCAGTCAGTGTCCCCAAGGTCTAGGCCCTTCTGTTTTCATTGTCCATTGGCACTAGCCCTAGATCTTTCTCTGATTATTCTGGAGAAATGATATGGCCTCTGCCATCACATTTATCACAATTTCTTTCATGCGTTGGACCTACAGCCAGTAGTTGTCAGTGAAGCATTCCATGGTACCAGGCTTGGAAACAGGCACCATAAATTGTCATGATTTCTCTACCAGCCATGCATTGGCGCAGGTTGTTGTAGTAAACAAATATTATGCAATGAAAATGCTCTGGACTAGGGTGCAGGGGCACACATAGAACATTAATATTCCTAAGAGAGTAATAAAAAGTTAATTCCACTCAGAGCTCACTGGAGAGATGGGAATAATCCACATTTGTCCAAGAGTCAGGAACAGCGCTATGCCCTGGGCTCTGGGGCAGTTTTAGGAGAAAGAGTCAAGGGTCTTGAGATCTAGTATTGCTATTTGCCTGATGGAGGAGTCTGGACAAGTCACTCACTCATTCACTATAATTGTGTCCTCAGCTCTCAAACAGGTATAAAAATATGGCCCCAATATCCTGAAAAGATTGTTGGGGTGAGGGATCAATGACAAAAGGGAGAACGCTACGGGAAGTCCAGTTCTCTACAAACATGAGAGGTCGCTGTTAGATCATAAGATTCTGAGAACAGCAATGTTCACTTGCAGTAGATACATCCTGAGCCCCAGACCCAGGATCCCAGGAATTGTGAGGGGTGCAAAAAGGAGCAAAAGCCAAGGTGGAAGGAATTCCATTGAGAATATGGGCTTGAAAACAGTATTTTACACGTGGAGAAATTGGGCTTGAAAATAAGCATTTTCAGGATGTTAGAAAAAGAAATAAAATAAAGCATCTTTGAGGATTACTATACTTGAGTATTACTATAGAGTAAGAGAACGAAGCAAAAAAATTCCTCTTCACTCATATTATCTAAGGATTATTTAGTAATTGAACACTAAAAAAATAATGGTAAATGCAAGTTCCCTGTTATATTCTATTTCATCCTATAGAAATTCACTTCACGAAGCCATGGAACTTGTATGTCTCCTTATATTTCTTTTCTCTTCCCTTACATACTGTAAGGATGGACCCACCAACCATCACCCATGAGGCTGGAAGGTAAAGCTTTTATGAAGACTGACTTTGCCTTTACCATCCAGAACCCTCTGTTAAGGTTTACTTGGGCATCAGTTTCCACTGACCTCCAGATGCCTCTGGGTAAAACATCTGTGCTCAAGGGTTCAGGGTCCAGAGAATCCACAGCTTGCTGTGTGATCTTAGGTAGGTCTTATCCCTCTCTGAATGCTGGCTCTTTTGCCTGGAAAGACAAAAGATTTCTCTTTCTCACTGTCAGTAGGAGTCTTCCTGAAAGGGCTCTAGCCAAGTTGTGAGAACTCTACTTTGTATAATACCCTATTTCAGGAAGCACAGACAGGATTAAAGCCGATGGTTTCCATCACAAAAGAAGCCATTCCATGGGGAGAAAAATTCAGTACCCTTTAGTGGGCTCCTCTCCCTCCACCAAAGATCACTACTCCCCACCCAGGATCCTCCGATCCTCGGAGTCCTGAGATCAAAGCTCCGCCTGGCCTCTAATGCGAAGACAGAAATCTGTCCTAAGTGGACTTTCAGAAACCACACTTTTACTGGAAAGAAAAACAGCAGGAAATGTGGCAGACCATTCAACCACTTCACCCCTCAAGCCAACATGAGCCTTAAATAATATCGAATCTTTCCTCTACATACTTGAAAAATATTCATTTCCTCTAAACCTTCCAGCTTAATTTTACTACTGACCCTCCTGCCCTGGGAAAGCTCCTTCACACTTCTTGCTTTTCTTGCCAGCTACTGAAGCAGGAAGCATGGAGGAAGAGGATTTGAAGCCCAAATAATAGAAAAAAAGAAAAAGAAAATCCTTTGCTCACTGTGTTGTTCTTGTACTCGGTGGCTTCTTCCCATTCCAACTCCCTCTTAAAGGTAACAGACCCACATCCTCCAAGCTCAGACCTTCACTCTCTCATGCCATCTCGACTCCTTCATGCTTCATGACATCACATGCTCTTTCTTGGAGCTACTAGAGAAATTCCCCACTCCCTCATTTAACTGATGGGAAAACTTTGGGGGTACCGATCGCTCAGGATTAAACAGTGGCCAAGTTCAAACCAAGCCCCTGGTCATTGTGGACAAAACATCACAATTCCCTTAAGAATCACACACCTACAAACAGTTTGCTAGATCAAGCACTATCTGGTCCTCAGAGTCCTGAGATCAAAGCTCTGCCTGGCCTTAAGTGCAAAGAGAGAAATCTACTCTAAATGGACTTCCAGAAACCACGCTTTTAGATATTAGACTGTGCCTTAAAAAAAAAAAAAAGAGAGAGAGAAAGAACGGAAGATAAAAAACAATGTCAATATCTATCTAGAAACTCTACCTGGGACACTGACTACACTCACCTGAAGGCTGGTATTCAATGTCCCTTAGTTGTGTAATTGTTGGACAACAGTGATCATCATGAGCTAATATTTGTTGAATTCTAGGCATTCTTTCCTATTAGGAAAGGAAGGGGAAGAGTCTTAAGAGCTCATCAAGCTCTTCTGGGCTTCTGTTGGTAACAACCATTCGAAACACCAGTCTCCCGGATGGTTTGGCAAGACCAGCAAGGCAAAGTGGAGAGGAGGATGCAGCACAATGCCTGTGCCCCAGACCCAGCATTCGGTATCTCCACCACCACTGGCCTGTGTGCAGTCCTGGGCTCCCACAGAACAGCAAAAGCACTTAGTGTTCCTTAATAAACAAAAGTCTAAATCTGAGCCAAAAAGAAAAAAAAAAACAACAACCATAAATAAATTTAAAAAGCTAGGGAAGGGGGGCTTACTTGCTCTGAACCGGCTGTTTCCTCCAAGCATTTTTCTGGTGTGGAACTGTGTATAATTAGGTACGTTTTGGGGAGTCATCTTGCCACTGCTTCCTTCAGCCCGCTGATTAGGAGAAAGCACCTCTCACCACCCCATCCGCTTTAACTGTGGGATCCTGTCTCATAGCCTAAGCGAAGTTAATGGATGAAGCAAGCCCCTGGAGAGTTTTTGAGGAGAAGAGGAAGCAGAAGGCTGCTATCCAGGGAACGATGGAGGTATTAAAGCTGGGTTTTTGTTTTGTTTTTTTACCTTAATATAATCTAAGGGCAACTTTTAAGATCCAGATCAAGTTCTTTTGTGGTTAGCCAAGACTATTTTCCTTCTTATTGCCACCCAAAAAAACAACTTTAATCATTTCCCTTCATGATTCTTAGCACTTTGGCCCACTTCTTGGGAATTTCAGAAATGATTCGAAATCAGTACAGTAGGGGAAAAATATTTATTTTCTAAAGTCGTTACCTTGACAGGCAAAACAAAGCATTTTCTCAATTTCATTCAGAAATACATTTTTAAAAAAATACATAGACCAATATGGCCTGCCCAAACGTATATTTAACATGGTAAATATAAGGAATAAATTGTTTTGAATATAAATATCTATAAAAAAATAAGTACATCAAAATTTAATCCAACCTCTTCCATTGGCCAGTTACATAAAGGAAAATAATTTTACTGCTTTAAAGCATAACCAAATGTTTACTTTGCAACATCTTTCAGAAACAACCCTAAACCATTTTGTTTCTAAGGATCAAGGTAAGGGAACCTTCTGATTCAAGGGTCTTTTTTCTTATGAATCAGAGTTAGTAGATTACTATGAAAATGTTACATCTACTACTGACATGGTAGACCAGACATCTATGAGGCCAAGATTGACTATGGGGGTTCCGGGGGAGGGGATGGCAGGAGGGGGCCGAGCTGGGAGGCAGGGGAGGGGGATGATAATTAACGGTGGGAAAGTACTTCTACCAGAGTGCAATAGAGGTGAGGTAGACTCAGATTCATCAAACCCATCCCGATTTACAGTAGTAACAGTTTCTTTTAGTTTTGCATTTTGTGAATTTAAAAAGCAAAAAAAAGTCTTTTTCTTTTTTTTTTTTTTTTACTTGAGTGTCCTTCGAGTGTGTTTTCAATTTGCGCATTCCTTAGAAAATCTTTGCGTGGACTTTGGAGTTTCTCCCTGAAATGTGCCAGGCGCCTGAGTGAGACACAAACACTCCCTTCGGACCCTCTTCAGGAATTCCACCATGTATGGAATCTCCTGTCCTCCCTCTGGAGGATGACACCCTAATTCACAAGTCACTGTGTGTCTCTCTGCTTTCTGAGTGGTCCACTGTCACCCCAAACGAGGAGAGATGAAAGCGGTTATCACTGATGGAAGCAAATGAAGATGGGTTGGGGGACTCCTTAACCTTCACTGTAATGTTTAGAGCGAGGGCACTGGTCCATTGCCAGTCTGGAACAAGAAATGGTCAAAGCAGGGAGGATGCTTTTGCTCTGATCCCAGCCGTGGGGAGAGAGTGCAGAATCAGCCACAGGGTTCCCTCCACGGAGGGGAAGGCTTGCGGGCGGGCCAGCCACAGGCCCCGGGGACCTGCCATCAGTGTGTTCGGTTGTGGGTCACTTGCTTCTCTCTGTAGAGCTCCGCTTTCAGCTTTGCGACACGAAAAGCTGTTTTGATGCGGTTGCTGATGGTGTCCAACCTATTAAAACAAGACAAGAGAAAACAAACGTCATTAAAAAAAAAAAAATTTCTAGGCAAAAGAGGCAGGCATCTAAAATTAGAATCCGGCACAAACAAATCTAAGTCTGGTTCCTGAACTTTCCCCACTGACCTCAACAGTATGCTACTCTTGGTTAAACTCAAGTGAAAATGCAGCCCCTCCCCACCTTTATGCTGGGCATGGGGGGAAGGGGAGAGGAGCTATGGTCATATCTAAAGGGAATTGGGCATTCAATGCAATTTTAAAGTACAATTTTAAGGTAAACTAGAGATATTCTCTTTTCTTCTGTTGCCCCATCGCAGCTACCACCACGGGATTCTATACATAAACTACCTCCATGTAGGTCTCAAATAGCCATGGATGTCTTCTTAATCACAAAAGCAATTAAGGGTGACTTGGTGGGAAAGGAACAAAAAGAGATGAGGAGTACAGGTAGGCCCAAAGTAAATGGTGTATGGCAATTAAAAAATATAAATCTATGTTTTTTGCAGGTTTAATGTTTTCTTTTGGCAGGAAAAAGAAACTGAACTGTAATAGTGATTTAATCGTTGATACAATAAAAACGAATAGAAAAATAATAATAATTTCCAAGTCAGTTAAGGAATTGTAGCTTATGGAACCTGATGATCTGGAGGGAGCATCGGGGGCCTGACATTATAAATATGGAAACAACAATGGCCAACGAGACATCCCAGATAGCTGAGGATGTCCCACCCATCAGCAGTAAACAATGCAAATGTCACTGCGGCTCAACACACTTTGATCACAGAACTCCTTGCCACTGGATTTCTAGGAAAACTTTCCATGGACCAGGAGAGGGAAATGTAGAACACATGACAGCTCCGAGTGCAGATTTCCTCTTGTGAATTCCAAGAGGTTTTGGATTTGGAAGGGTCATCCCTCTAGAGCTGCCCATCACAACCCCCGAGCGTGGACTAATGTGCGTCCCTTCTCGGCCCCAGCTCACGACCGACTAGAAGAGATGAGAGCTTTTCAGAATGACATGGGCTCTCTAGCAAATGCACTTCCCTATTTTTAAAAAATAAATAAACCCCCCCAAACAGCATGTTCTAATGCTCACCTACCTAATGACTTTATTTTTCCCTTTGGCCATTGGAGTAACTGCTACTTTTTGAAGAACTTGATCATACATGACACTTTGATTTAAAAATAAAATGAAGTAATATAAAATAAACATCAAAACTCCTTTCCCGGAAAGGATTGTTAATTTCTCAAGGAAAGTGGCAAATGCATTGACTTGGAAAAGCAAGGACTAGATATGACCAAATGACAAAGTTGTCTGTAGATGTATCTTGGGAAAATCTAACTTTAGACTGAGTGGCACATGCTTAAGATCATCCAAGTGTATAGTAGGCAAAGGTCTGCATTCAAAAATATTTGAGAGGGATTCCTTTGCTCTTTCTAATCTATTGACTATGAAGATCTTTGTTCTTTTCTTCTCAGCCTTTCTTCCATCAAGGTGAGAGTACCTGGGGGAGCAACCCATTAGCACTGGTGACTGGGGCTAGCTGTCCTTGGGAGTCTCTTACCTTCTTATTTTTCTTCCTGCCACCAGCTGCTGATGAATACACTTTTCTCCAAACTCAGAACAGTCTTTTCCTTTCTTATGGTCATTCCAGCCCTTCTCCATACTTTCTTGGTCCCTGTTAAAATACAGATAGGACAAAACTTTTCAGCAATGGTATCTTCAGCTCTCACAAAATCTCTGTTAATTTCTCTTAAACAAAAAGGCAACATCATGGCAGGAAGATCAGGAGGCCATAAAACTGACTGAAAGCAAAAGGGTTTCTACCTCACCTGAGTTCTTTTCCCGCTTGGCAAAAAGTCCAGCACTTCTTGTCTTTTTGGCTAGCACATTGGCATCTCTTCCTGTGGTCTGTTGCCTTTGTGGCAAATAAATCCTTTAAGGATCGCTTGGACCTAGAAGGGCTTCCAAGTCCATATGGAACAATGTGCCTATTATCAAAAAAGATGAACAAAAGATATTAGCATAATTAATAGTCTTTGAAATGATGCATTCTACGTGCCCATCAATGGCCCTTAGTGTGTATACCCTCGCCAGGAGAAAACCAGTTTTCTAACTCAATGAAATTCCATTTGGATTCTTAAAAAATTTCAGTCTCTTCTCCACACAAGCAGCTTTGGTTTTTGTCCAAGATTATGACATCTCTGCTTTGGTGTCTGTTTCCTATTTTCTTCCTTTTCTGACTTTCCATCTACTTAACAGCTACTGCGGGGGAGGGACTTCGATGCAAAACCATGACTCACATGATTTTGAAAATCTATTTTCAATTTAAGTCATATGATAATGCCAAAAGTGCCTCCTGAGTGTTGGGGGGGGGGTGTCGGGTAAGATCTATTACGGCACGCATGGTTCACCCCCAGCTTCGCACATCTCCTGCAGCTGGTGACTAATAGAAGGACTCTTCGCCAGAAGGCTCCCCGGTAAATTCCAAAGTGTCCCTTCTGAGCCTCACCTAAAAGGACTAAAGTCCTCACCTTGGTAGCATCACCTTTTAAGTATTAGGCTCACTGTGGTTTTTGTTTGATTTGATTTTGTTTGGATTTTGGGCATCCCTCACCATAATTGGCCACCCGGTACGGGACACTGTGTCCCGTGTTTTTGTTTACAACTGTGTCTGATGGGTGAGCCAGTTTTCAGGGTGAAGGAGGGGGAGAACCTGCTTTCCTCCGGCTCTGGAAGCAGAAGAGAAATCTGTAGACCATGTTTCTATTGCTGTCTTGAAATGGGCTTTTCTAAGGGGAGAGTACAGAGGAGTCACACACCCTTGTGCCAGGTCTGGCTCTGCCCCTGGACTCATTCTTGACAAGTGATGTCCACAGTTTGGGTTTGTGCTTTTCTATAAGTAAAATGAAGGGACTGATTATCACTCTTTACAATCCCTTCTGCCTAGCAGGAGTAGGATGGGTTAGACTAACCCATGTCCGACCTCGGCAGTTTATTCCCTAAACCCAAGCAGATCCCACCAAAAAAAATCCCCCCTCAGAAATATGTGACAGAGTCCTGCTTGCCATCAGCATTTTCCATCTCTCCTGTCCTGAGTCTTTGAGCCACGGGGACTCAGAAGACCCTCCCCTGTGTTTCAAAGAACCACCCTGCCTGGTATTTTCAGGAATGGGGTGGGGGGGGCACTCTCTGCACCCCCACCCCCGAGGCACCTTCATGTCATCAGAAGTGCTACCTTCAGAATCCAAACCAGGAGCCTCCCCACTAACCCCCCCACCCCCACCCCCGCTCCAAAGCAATGAGCATCCCCGGGCTCCAGTCTCTGGAGAAGCCAGAGGTAAGGAATAGCTAGAGTGACGACGCCCTCTAGAGACTCACTCGGGGGTGTTGACCCAGATGATGTCGAGGTGGCAGAAGTAGACGCACTCTTTATCCATCAGGGAAGAGCAGGAGCACCGTTTGGAACGGCGGGCCCGCCAGGGTGCACTGGCAGCAGACTTCTCCCCTCCACTGTCCAAGCCTGTGCTGAGCTCCGCGCCCAAGACTGCTGGGGAGAGAAAGAGCAGGTCAGCAGGGCATGTCCCCTGGGATCTAGCGGAGCAGATAAAAGCCCATGAAGCCTGCAGCCCGCCTTCAACAAGAAACACAGAGCAAAAAGGGCTCTTTATCTTTTCCCTCCTTAACATGACTTCACCTTTACCCCCCACTGGCTTATCCACTTTCAAGGAGATTACACGTGCAGCAGGAACAGCCACCTGAAAAGGGGACTGACTGACCAGCCCCCAGAGAAATGCGTGGACATGCTGCCTGTTAGAAATCTGGGGTGGCTTCTGCATGGAATTTAGTAGGACAGCCCAATTTCGTAGGACAGTGGCGTAAAGTGGGCTGATGACCAAAGCTCTAAAGCTACATAAATCACCTGCCTCTTCCTAGGTTCGGAGCCACTGCCCCCTGCAGTTTAGGGGAGTACCCACCATTTCACACCTGGTGGAGGGCAGGGAGTAGCCCAGGTGATACATAGTCCTTGAAATTAGCTGAGGTTCAAGAGCTTTGGGGGGATGATTAGAGAGAAAGAAGAGAAACCAGCTCTACAATACTCATCACACATGGTAAACTCCATAGAAAGTACTGACCTAGGGTGAGACTGAGCAGCAGCTCCGGGACCTAATTAAGGTTCTGTGGATTTTGAATTCAGGATCCCCGGAGGAGGATGGCGTGTGGGGGACTCGCCACCTCCCCCTTCCCCGCTGCAGCATGGCCTCTTCTTACTGACAAGTTAGCCATGAGGCTTATCTGCCCAATTTTGTACATTTCAAATGATCAGACACATTCCAGGATTTTCATTCCCTTGACATCTTTTCTCTTTAGTCAGGGTCATGAAAAGCCACACACAAAAAAGGGCATTGACCCTAAGAGGGGGGAAATGGGCAGATATACATGTACTATCTAAATCCTCAGGCAGCCAAGATTTATCTTAGTTTCCCTCCCACAACAGGTGAATAAAACTGAAAATAGACCTCACACTGTTTTGGGTGCCAAAAACCTGCCAGAAGAAGCCTAAAGTCAATAATGACAAATTTTAAAGAAAACATCTGCTTCACCCTGAAACCACCCGAGGGTTATTCAACAGACTGTTCTGCAGGTGATTTTACTGCTCATATACTGCTTGAATGACTTGAATAAAATTCCTTGGCTTCAAGCTGAAATGTTTAAATATTTTACACATTCACACACTATTAAAACAGTACTTAAATAAGATATATAAGTCCTTATATGTCCTATCACCTGTGCGAACACATATGTTGCAAATACACATTTGGCCAAATTATATCTTGTCTTTACTTTTCTTGAGTTATATTTTTAAAAGCCAAGGAAATACACTATATACTTATAACAATAAGTTATTTTAATGCTATAGGAGCAATTGTTTTCAATAGAGGAATTATTTTTCCCCACTAGAAAACTTAAGTAGCTTTGAGCAATAATTCCCAGACACTTGCTATCTAAGCTGCAGTCATAAAAGAAGGGGAAAACAGAAGCAAGAAAAACACTAAGGTGGACAAGAAGACATTAACGTTCAGAGGTTTCCAAGTCCCCGTGCCTACCTGCTTCTGGAGCTCCTTGGAAAGCCACAAACAGCAGAGAGAAAATCATGGGGAAATAATCCATTCTGGGAAAAAAAAAAAAAAAAGTGTGTGGCGGGGGGAATCAAAGTCCTCCCCTGCCAACTGAACCCAAAAGAAGACGAAGAAAAATAATAATAGCTTCGGGTCTCTCAAGGCGCTTCTGGTTATTCAGATCTCGAAGTGAGCCTTCAGCCTAAGTGCTCTTTAACGGAGAGAAAAAAAGAAGTTTTCTGCCAGCAGGGCCGGCAGTGGGAGAGGTCTGCGGACGCACGCGGCGGTGGCGTGCGGGGGACAGCTGGGAGCGGTCTGCGGACGCACGCGGGGACAGCGGCGCCGACCGGACCGAGGACCCTCTGCGCGCTCGCCCCAGCGCCGCTGTAGAAGCGCGTCTGACTTGGACAGCTCTCCGCCGCCTTTTTATATTGAACCCCTATAGAGTGGGGGTAAACAGCTCCAACTTTATTCCAGCCCCAGACAATGTTATTGTGTTATTAGTCACCAACAGGCAACGTGCAGCCGGAGATAAGGCCAGGCTCTAAAGGAAATCACTGCTAACTTCAGAGGCAGACGCCCGCCGTCTGACAATTCAGGGGCAGGGCTAAGAACAAGAAAATACCCATTAGAGACCTTTGGTAAACCTGCCCGTGCAGCGCTTGAGTCTGCTTCCCCTTTTGCAAGCTGCCAGCCCCAGAGTTCAAGAATCAGAAGAGGGACTCCAGAAAAGTCATACCATTGGTATGAAAAGTATGAGCTACAGTTTAAGTAGATTGTATTGTTGTGCGCGGGGATTTTTGTTGTTGTTGTTGTTCCCTTCGTTTTCCTTTTATGTCTCCGATTTCTTAGTGTTGATCAAACAGGGGAACTCTCTCCCCTCTTCACTCCCCCCCTCCCACTGGGGGTCAACTGATTTTGGCAGATCGAGGTACTTGTCCCTTACTCCAAGCCCCCTCCCCCAAGTCTTTTTTGCTAAAGTTCCTTGCGCGCACGGTGAAAAAGATCGGTGAAGGAATGGCAAGGAAAGGACGTTTAAAAGAAAAATAGAGCCCTTTCCAGGCACATACCCAGTGCTTTCGATATCACTGAGTAGAAACCCCTATAAACTTTTTTTTCTGTGCCCACCCTCTTTCCCCTTCCCGGAACGCCCCCCGCCTTCAATAGCACCAATGTTGAGAAATATCGGGAGAGGAACGCCAGGGGGAGATGAAGAGCTACAGGGGCTGATGTTTTCTGAGCACAAACACTCAAAGCCCTGGCGGCCCCACACACAGAAGGAACGCAGCCTGAGATGGGGGCCGAGGAACAGGAAGGACCGGCGCCTCCTCCCGTGAGAAAGGGGTGCCCCTCAGAACATTCACTTACTCCCTGTGCAGGGACATCTTTTCTGAATCGTTTTCCCCCTCGGGTTCTTCATTTAGGGCAAAGGGGTGTTCTAATACAGGGATAGGTGGATATGAAGTGCATGCAGGCGGTGTTGGGAAGGAGGAAATGGCCATGCTGAATTAGGAGATCAGGTAATACCTCACATGTAATAGTGCCCTTGAAATACCCCTCAAGGACCCACGGGGCAGCCACTGTGGAGTTGAACGTGCTGTAATCATATAAAGTGAAACATAATCTAAGACATTGGCTTTTTCCAGGAGCCTCATTTTCCAGGTGGGAAATCCAGGGCTCCCAGAGCTCCCATGCTCTACTGAAGTTCTTGCCGGGCATTGGGTAAGGCCCAGGCGAGAAGTTTAGAGCACCCTCCCAGCTCAGGAGAAAGGTGGATCTACATCTAGCACCTGGGGACACCATCGCATAGATGCTTCCAGCATTTCCTCACCTTGTTTAACTCCAGTCCCCTCCCCCAGGGTGGGCAAGGGAGGGGTATTCAAATGTGGATCCATTCCCAATACTCAGGAGGATCCCCTCCAACCATTTCTTCCTCCTTCTCCCTGCCTACCCCTCACCTCTAGAATCAAAAGGACAGATTTCATCCCAGCACGAAAGCTGTGGACCTGGGCACCCTGGGCTCCCTGGACCTCCCTGGAAGTCCCCCCTGGGGAGACAGTCACAGTAGCGGAATCAGGTGCAGAAGGAGATCTGTTCCCTGAAAGAGCCACTGTAACAAGAGCTGGAGCTGAAGGAGAGGCAGGAACCCTCCCTCCCACACCCACACCAGAGAGTCCTCCACCCAGGCCCCGGGGGACTCTGCCTGGGCCTTCTGCCTCTTCATAGGCTTACCTCAGCCAGCCCTGGGGGCTGGGGAGGGCACAGCTCACCCTAGAACGGGGCGACATCACGCTGGAAGCCAGCTTTGCCCACCTCAGCTCTGGCTGGTGTGTCCCAACCGCCTCCCTGCAGAGGGAGCACAGGGAGAGCGGAGAAGAACTGATGTCCCATTCACAGGCTCCAAGCTCCCCCGCAACCCCCCTGCCCAGCGAGGGAGACGCGGCCTGGGATCCCGCTCACCCCCTCTTTAACTTCCTGGCAACTTTGACAAAACCCTGGTCACAGTCAGAACCAACCTGTCCTAAGCTCCTCCCCGGAAATGACCCCTCCCCCGCCCTTCCCAGTCTCTCCAGGTTGAGCCTGGGTTACCCTCCAAGCAGGCAGGCCCCCTCCCCACCACTCCCACATGACTGGGGCTGCCCCCGCAGGGCCAGAAGCGCCCAGCAATCAGGTGGAGACGTGAAGCGAAATGAAGCTGCCCACACGCCTTCCCACAGTCTCCCCTCCTCTCCTGTGTGTGTCATCCTGTGCACGCGAATACAAAAAGTGGGTAGTGATCCGCCCCCACCCCTGACCCCAGGCCTTCTAGGACTCTGTAAAGTAAATGCACAGGGTTTCAGATCTGGGTGAATCCCACTGTTCCAAGTGCAGTCTCGCCCCCATCTCTGAATCCTGAGTTTCCAAGATGCCTATGGGCATGTGTATGGTGGGTGGTCCTCCCCTTCTCTGTGTGTCTTGCGGGGAGCAGTGGGATCTGCCTTTTCCGTCCTTCTCTCCATCTCCACCTCGGGGTGCGGCCCCCTTTCCTTCTGCCAGAGGAAGGGGAAGCCCCTCTCAAGCTCAAAAAAGGCAGCTCGGTACTGCCAGGCAGCTGCCCAGCAAGATATTTTCCCAAGAAGCAAGAGAGGGAGGAAGAAGCCCAACAAACCAGTTTTACAAGCTCCGTGCTCCCACCTTTCCTCCACTTCCAGCATGGCTAGACAGGGAGGTAGGAGAGATGGAGGTTAAAAAAGCCGGGCAAAGTAATACATGGGGACATCCCACCTCCCTCCCCAGCCCGCACCCCACCCCTCCAAGATCTAGGAGGGTGTGGGCTCTTTGTAGCCACAGACCTCAGAGAGGAAAGGAAAGGATAGGGAGAGAAGACTTAAGAACATGGCTTTTTTTTTTCTTCAATAGAACAGTTTGCTATTGCTGTTCTTGCTTTTGATGTTACACTTGAATACTGGAAACTATTTGATAAAGCTATTTTTTATGTATTTCTTTCTGTACCTCTTACTATGTATTAATAGATATCTATAAATAAAACACCCTGAGCCCCAAATGCAGATACTACACAGTAGCAAAGTGTACTGTTTTTAGCACTCCTCAGCTTTGCTCTTTCTCAACTTTTGCGTAATAACATTCGCAGCTTTGCCAAGCCAATAAATCTGGCGTGAGATGTTGCATTTAGCTCAGCAAAAAGAACAGCCGTTAGGTTGCTTGATGATAGCCCAAAGAATGGGAAACTAGTTTAGTATAGGCACGGTGACGCTCTCCATGTCCCTAGACTTGGTTCAGTCGTAATAGTGTTGCCTGTTTGACATTTTCAGTCTGCATGGTGCAGAGTACAGAGGTCCCATCGTGCTGTTTTGCAAGAGTGTGCACTACAGACATTACTCCATGATCCATTACACACCTCCTGGAGTCATGAACAACACAGCTTCTCTCTACAGCCCAGAATATAATGGTCGATTCAGCGAAGGAAATAGGATGACACTCAGGAGAGATTCATCACCTGCATTTTACAAACATGTAATGCATGCAACTCAGTCTCCTTGATACTTTCATCCATAAGCCAAAAACAGCAAGTCTTTAGTTTCAAAGAATATGTGCAATTCTTTAACATGGCATTCACCCAACCTCAGTCATTCATAAACCTCTTTCACAGTGTTGCCATCCTTGTGGGCCACCCGTACATTTTTAAGGAATATTCTCCATTCACTAACTAATTCTTGTTTTTTTTTTTAAATTTAATTTATTAAGGAGCTGAGGGAGCGAGAGAGAGCATGTGCAGGGGGAAGGGCAGAGGGAGAGGGAGACGCAGACTCCCAGCTGAGCAGGGAGCCCAGCGTGGGGCTCAATCCCGGGACCCTGAGATCATGCTGTGAGCTGAAGGCAGACGCTTAACTGACTGAGCCACCCGGGCACCCCGTGACTAATTTCTTTTACTTGAATAACTTTAAAGCAATTTACTATTACTGCTATCGTAAGCAACAGTATACAAGAAGTCATGCTTTGTATGGCTAAGTAATGTACATGAAGTCATAGTTTAATACACGTTAAAATGAACATAACTATTGTGTCTTCATTAAGCTATTGGAAATAAAAAATATTCAGCCAGGTACTATCACCTTATATCCTAACACCAATGTACTTACCACTCTTAGGGAATATGGCTCCTTACATGTAATGTCTTACATTTTGTTATGTTAAGAAGCCCTGGTTTAATTCAGCTCTCTGAATCTATTTTCAAGACCATCTCAAAATGTTCTGCATCGAAACTCTCATATGGGTGTATTTCAAAGAAAACAGATATTCTGGCCTTCAGAATCTACAAAAACAAAGAGTCCATATCCAAAAGAGTTCCTACTCGATATTTCCGCTGGGTTTATTGCTTTAGTGTTTTGGCATTTATCTTGTTTTCCATCCCCTATCCTGAAGTTAAATACCCTCTTGAGTGTTTTCGCTGGCATTCCCCCCACCCCCCGCCCACATATGGACATAGAGATTGGAATGGGAGAGTAATTATAATATTTCACACATCAGAGAGACCAAAAAATGTGTCGGCCAGTGGCTGCCTCCCCATCTTTTTCTCTTTAATTTTAATTCTGTGTAATTTATGACATGTGGAACTAAAGAGACTCTGATGTAGGGATTAAAAAAGAACACCACTTGAGAGTGAATCGAGTAGAATCAAGTCACTTCATTAAACCTGATTTATGTAGTCATTCTAGACAAGCTTCCCTCCTGTGTTTTTGAATGAGATGGTAAAAAAAAACTCATTCTGGAGCAGGTGCCCATAAATATGATGGCTACCTTCATGTTTCCTTAGGCCAGAGGCTTGTGTGTGAGTTAGTAGGCTGCTTCCGGTTCAGTGTTGTCAGAATGCTTTCTGTGACTCCATTTCATTATTGATTGTGTATTTCTTTTTTTTGTTTTTTAAGAATTTTTT